GCCGTATTGTCCATCAGAGGTTCCCCCATATTGGTTGCAAGAAGTTTCAAGTTCCCCATTTCAGTTTCATTTCTGTTCATATGTTTTGTTGGGTATATTGCTTAGAAAATAGGTAAGCTGGTAGACAAAACTAAACGTATGCACCAAACAAGTGCCTTTCAGTGGAAAAAATTACTTCCAGGAGAGTAGAAAATTATGTAGTGAATGTGTTAAAGGAATAATGAGAAAAGAAAGATTACCGTATAATATGTATATATATATATATACTCGCCTATAATATGACCTGGTGTTTAATAACTCTTTGTGTCTCTAAATCTCATGAGGTTAAAGGTTACCACCCCTCTGTGTGCATTTAAGTTTTCGAAGGTTAGAGGTTACCAAATTTTCTGTATGTCTAAATATCCTGAAGTTAAAGGTTACAACATGTTCTGTATGTCTAAATTTCCTGTGGTTAAAGATACCACCTCTCTGTGCATCTGAATTAGCTGAAGTTAAAGGTTGCAACATTTCTGTGTGTCTTTATTACCTGAGGTTAAAGGTTGCAACATTTCTGTATGCGTCTAACTTACCTGAGGTTAAAGTTACCACATTTTCTTTTCGTCTAAATTTCCTGGAGTGAAAGGTCACCACCTCTCTGTGCGTCTAAATTTCCTCTGGTTTAAGATTACCACCCTTTGTGCATCGAAATTTCCTAAGGTTAAAGGTTACCACATTTCTGTGTGTCTCTCCATTTTCTGAGGGTAAAAGTCACCCACCCCTTTGTGGGTCTAAATTTCATGAGGTAAAAGATTAACACCTCTCTGTACATCTAAATTATCTGAGGTTAAAGGTTACAACCTGTCAATGTGTCCAGGTGAACGGCGAGGACCTGACCCAGGCCACCCACCACCAGGCAGTGACCATCCTGGCCCAGTTCTTCCCCGTCTGCCGACTGACCGTGTACCGCGAGAGAGCGGAGGAGAACCGACCCATTGAGAAAGAAGGTGAGTACCGCCCACCCCAAGGTGGCTGCTTACAAATTTTGAAGTTGCAACTGAATAGAAACAACCTAGAATCGTTGTTGTCCATTTGTCCTTTCTTTATTGTGTCCTGATATTGGGTCTCGGTTGCACTTATGTAAGATTGCTGAAATGAAATACTCACTTGGTGCCCTTCAGTCTCATCTATATTGTTCTTTTTATGTTGTACAACTCCAGAATACCCATTCACACCTTGTAATGTCAATTGCACAAGGAGCAATTCTTTAGAGGGAAATTGCACAGTAAACAAACATCTGAAAATCTCCGACTGAGGGTGTGAGAAAACGCATTTTTAATATATTGGCTTGCCAAACTTTTTGCTTAAAAAACACAGATATCGATGATGAGTACCTCATTTTCAGAAAAATCCGTACAAGTTACGTAAACGGTCTCGAGTTAAAGCAAGTATGATAAGATTTGGTCGTAATATAAATTTTATATTTATTTGACAACTTTTAACGCGTTTTAAAACCATTTCCTCCACGATTTCAAATACTGACTTTTTATATGCTGTTACTCTCAATTTTATCCGTCGAACCGTATACGTTTTATTTTTGTTGCAATTTTTTTTTTTAGGCTCTACCCTTATCTTTGTTCCACTAGTATGTTAGTGTTTTAGCATCTCTAAAATGGCAGCTTGCTCTGTATGTTCCCAGAAAACTGAGATTGTTTCAGAATGCTATCAGATCTGCTGGGGTAATAATATAGACTGTAAAGCGCTCAGAGCTTGCTGCTGAGTGGGAATTCGCCCTATACAAATTCTATTTATTATTATTATTGTTATTGTAATTATTATCGTAGCTGAAATCAGTGGCACGTCATTGAAAGACCTACTGTGTTGTTATTTCTAAAAAGTTTTTTATTTTTTTTTATTTTGATGTAGCAAGCTTCTCCTCGACAGTTTCTTCTACCTGTATAGTTTATTTTTATTTCTTGCTCATCCTTCCCTTCTGTTTGGTGGGTGGTTGGGGGCTGCGCGGGGGGGGCTCACGTGGCCTAGAGGTTAAAGTGTTCGCATCTTATTCAAAGGTCCCGGGTTCGAATCCGGGTAGCGACGGAAAAATTTTCTTCTCTAAAATGATCTCCTTTGACCTTTTTTCTTGCTCTCTTGCAATGTTCTGTCGTCTGCTTTCGTCTCCACTTGCTGCCCCCACCCCTCACCTCCTTTGCCCCCTCCTCTGGGCTCCTGACTCTTTTTTCAGCCTTTTTACAGCTACTCCTTGGCTCCTTCTTACTGCTGTATTTCAGCCACACCCCTGATCTTCTGGTAGGAAAGATCTACACCTAGCCTTCTTGGACAAGGGTGAAAAATCTCGGAGGTCCCGCGTGCAAGTTGAACCCGTTAAAGATCCCATGGTAGTTTAATATCGATAAGAGTAGGCTTCGGCTGCCACCCATGCAAAATTCAAAATTTCATTATAACTGAAAATTTTTAATGTGTCCCGCGCGCTCATATGACCTTATGCAGTTGCAAGCGCCATTAAACACTTACCAAAACAAACAACGAACAAACAACTGGAGCTGCGCTGGTGTGATTTGCTCCTTCTTCCCAAGCAAACGTCTATCATCCTGATCTCTTTTCTTCTTTTTTTCTCTTAACCTGTTGCTTTTTAGTGACACCTCTAATCTTCTCCTACTGAAATATTTTTAAAACCTCTTTGTCTTTCTTCCTCAGAGATACTGAAGATTACGTTATGCAAACACAAAGGGAGGCAACTAGGTATCAAACTAGTTGGGAAAAGGTAAGTTTGGCTGACTTTGTAGTGCTGGATGCAGAAAAGAAACAAAAAATGTAATTTTTCATAATTAAGCTTCTGCCTGCTGTTTCAGGACTGTTTTCTCAAATACTTATATAAGCTTTGAGATTTTGCAAATAAGATATGGATCATGATTTATTCTAACAATGACGGGTTGTGATTTGAATTATTTTTCTATTTATGCATTGTACTTTAAAATGTTCTGGATTAAAGAAAAGTTCACAAGCAAAATCAAGCAAATTTTCTTTTCTTTTTTTTTCGGGGGGGGGGGGGGTGGGAGAGATGGTTGTTTCTTTTTGGGGGGGGGATGGGGTATGGGGGGGGTTTATAGTTCTCTTGCTAGATTTATTCCTCAGTCTCATTGCACTTTACAGAGTTACTACATGCTACTTGTTCTTCTTTTCCCATCAGGAATGGCCCTGGCGGGTAAATACTGACCTTGGTAAGTCTTTGTGACATTTAGATGATAAATACTTTTGTTAATTTATTTATTTACTTTATATACTGACCTTGGTAAGTTTTTGTTACATTTAGATAGATAAATGCTTTTGTTAATTTATTTATTTACTTTATCTGCTGACCTTGGTAAGTCTTCGAATGATACGTTTACGTTACTTGAGAACTTCTGGTCTTTCGTTGATGTCTACTGGTCAAGTCCTGAGTCTTGAGAATATGAATAATTTGTATATTATTTATTCTTTGAGGGTATTTTTAGTTTTCTTTTTTTTTGGGGGGGAGGGGATTGTTTGATTTTGGGTATTTTTTTGGGGGGGGGGTTATTTTCTTTGTCACGATTGTACATTGAATCATTTTTATAGTATTATTCTTCAAGGATAGTTTCAGTCTTTTTTTTTCTGGATCTCCCTGTCAATATATAATATTTGTTATTATTATATTTTTTTTTTTTTTTAATATTATTATTATTATTTTTATATTTTATTATTATTATTAATATTATTATTTTTATTATTGTTTTAATGATATATGAAATTACTTATGTTTCAACCTCAGATTCCTGGCTCTCTGGCCTCCTGCGATGGTCGACTCAAGATGGACGACCGGGTTCTGGAGATCAACGGGCAGGACGTGTCCTACGGGACACAGGAGCAGGCTGCCTCCATCATCATCGCCAGCCCGGCCCGCGTCCAGTTTGTGGTGGCGCGGAGGTCAAGGCCGCAGACACCGGATATAATTAGGTCGGCCTCGGAGCACAGCAAGTACGCGGTGTTTGCCACCGACGAGCACGAGAAACCCATATCTCCGCTGTGTTTTGTGTGCCAAGAGAAGCTGGTCACTATTTACAGCTACTCCTTGGCTCCTTCTTACTGCTGTATTTCAGCCACACCCCTGATCTTCTGGTAGGAAAGATCTACACCTAGCCTTCTCGGACAAGGGTGAAAAATCTCGGAGGTCCCGCGTGCAAGTTGAACCCGTTAAAGATCCCATGGTAGTTTAATATCGATAAGAGTAGGCTTCGGCTGCCACCCATGCAAAATTCAAAATTTCATTATAACTGAAAATTTTTGATGTGTCCCGCGCGCTCATATGACCTTATGCAGTTGCAAGCGCCATTAAACACTTACCAAAACAAACAACGAACAAACAACTGGAGCTGCGCTGGTGTGATTTGCTCCTTCTTCCCAAGCAAACTTCTATCATCCTGATCTCTTTTCTTCTTTTTTTCTCTTAACCTGTTGCTTTTTAGTGACACCTCTAATCTTCTCCTACTGAAATATTTTTAAAACCTCTTTGTCTTTCTTCCTCAGAGATACTGAAGATTACGTTATGCAAACACAAAGGGAGGCAACTAGGTATCAAACTAGTTGGGAAAAGGTAAGTTTGGCTGACTTTGTAGTGCTGGATGCAGAAAAGAAACAAAAAATGTAATTTTTCATAATTAAGCTTCTGCCTGCTGTTTCAGGACTGTTTTCTCAAATACTTATATAAGCTTTGAGATTTTGCAAATAAGATATGGATCATGATTTATTCTAACAATGACGGGTTGTGATTTGAATTATTTTTCTATTTATGCATTGTACTTTAAAATGTTCTGGATTAAAGAAAAGTTCACAAGCAAAATCAAGCAAATTTTCTTTTCTTTTTTTTTCGGGGGGGGTGGGGGTGGGAGAGATGGTTGTTTCTTTTTGGGGGGGGGATGGGGTATGGGGGGGGGTTATAGTTGTCTTGCTAGATTTATTCCTCAGTCTCATTGCACTTTACAGGGTTACTACATGCTACTTGTTCTTCTTTTCCCATCAGGAATGGCCCTGGCGTGTATATACTGACCTTGGTAAGTCTTTGTGACATTTAGATGATAAATACTTTTGTTAATTTATTTATTTACTTTATATACTGACCTTGGTAAGTTTTTGTTACATTTAGATAGATAAATGCTTTTGTTAATTTATTTATTTACTTTATCTGCTGACCTTGGTAAGTCTTCGAATGATACGTTTACGTTACTTGAGAACTTCTGGTCTTTCGTTGATGTCTACTGGTCAAGTCCTGAGTCTTGAGAATATGAATAATTTGTATATTATTTA